CTCAGACCCGAATCCATCGTGTCGACACAATGGACATGGCAAAATTAGAGAGTCCCCTTTGCGGTTCGGAATTCCCGAAATTTCGAGTCCACCGCGCCCCTCCCCAAACAAAAATATTTAGACTGGACATTTCAAGGAATCGCAGTTACCAAGTGGTCTCTCTCAAGAGTGCTGTCTTACCTCAAAGAGGCGGGGGAGTTCCCTCAGCCTCCCCGAGAAAAAAAAAAGAAGAAACAAAAAAAACGTCCCAAACTTTTGAAGACTTTGACGAGTGACCCAGGACGTAGCTGACATCCTCTGCCGGCGTCGTGCTCTGTGCCAGGCCGAACCTCGCTCGTTCTTTTCGGCGTACCGACCGAATCGGTCGGACCAACCTGGGGCCTGAAATCATGATTTTCGGACAGGGCTCTGTCCAAATCATTCATCAAACAAGTGGGCTGTGGCTACGAATCTGTGATAATTACACCAAAAGGGCCGAACCCCAAATCGACTAACTCCCACAGAAATTTGGGGGAGATTCCCGAAGATATCACAGAAGTGGGGATAAACCCCGAGTGATCCCACAACCCTGAACAGGTCTATCCATTGGAACTGGTTTTTTGGGAACAACCACATGTAAATTGTTTCAGGTGGCAGGAAAAGCATGCACGGCGCTCATTTGGTGACATAATCTCCAAGAGTTCCTTGAATGTCCAAGAGGGCGTCACATTCCGGCCAACACCATGAACCGCTTCCTGCCAATGTATCTACCTCACATCTTGACCCATCCCGAAAGTCAAAAACAACGCAAGGGCCACTTCAAACGAGGCTATGTCTTGGTGTCAACTGAGAGCACACTCAGTCAGCTATCGTTGGTCCCAAATTGACCTGCCATCTTCCAACAAATCCAACGGAACAAGTTGTCAGCGGTGCTGGCTCCTTGATGAGTCGCAAGTACTTCATTAAACTTCCTTCATTTCGACTTCAACTGCCGTGAACTATAGATGTTTTGTTGGCGCTGCATACAAAGCGTACATCCTGACCTGTAGTATCATTTATCCCGCGGAAGCACAACCTATCCTGACAAGTGTCAGGTATGTCATGGGCCGTCCGTTGAAAAGAAACACCCACCCGCACACACGCATGCACAAACATTCCGACTAGACAAAGGGTCGCAAATCTGAAGTTGGTCAGAGCTGATCAGGTTGTATTTGGGTTATCGACTGTCCATCTGGCATTTGTCTACGAACATGGCTTTTGTTTAGTGTGGATATGTGCTTAGTGTGTATATAGATATACATAAACATACACCACTGCAAACGTGACTCTGAACTGTGTAACCTGGTACATGTGTGGTGAGGCCAAATGCAATGCGGCAAACTATTTTGGCAATGCGGGCAAGCTGCACAACTCAAGGATGGGCCATAATGTAGCTAATTTGTCGTCAAGGGTCAAGGTGTATTTTAACACGCATCTATATATATATACCCCTTACTCCAAATACCCGCCTTTTTCAGGGTATTATTTGAAAAACCGGGTTTTCCACGGTGAATACATCCTTTTTTAGTAGACGGTCGACATCATACCCAAAGAAAGGCGGGTATTTGGAGTAGGAAGCAAAATATATATATATATATATACATATTACGGTCAGCCCCCCATGATCTACCTTGTGCTTTTTGAAGTCCTTTCACATATTAGTTCTTGCGTATTCACAGTACACACTTTAATGCCAACACCCTGGTCTTGTAGTGTGTTTTTTGCTTTTTTTTGTTTTAAAGAAGACTTGTAGACTGGTGTTTTAATGCAGAATCATCAAAGTGCGTGTGTGTGTGTGTGTGTGTGTGTGTGGTGCGCAAAAGCCCTGACCGGATTGTTTCTGGGGGCATCCCACGCTGAGTTGGGCCTACAAAAAACACATGCATTTGTACGGTGCTGTCTTCTTCCCTGCGCTTGCAAAGTACTTAAACAAAGCACGCCTTTTTGGACATGTGCCAAAAATTAAACCATACGTCAGCTCGATTTGACCAAAAACAACTAGAGACACCCCAACAACAAGCTCTGGGGGAGAATCCTGAGTTTCAGCCCCAAACTTTGCATTGGTGCTCTCGCGATTTTATTTGGTTTTGGTTGTCCCTTGTTTTGCTTTTCAACCCTATCCCACAAAAACCAAGAAACAACGCGAGGTTCGTTTGTCCTTTGACATGAGGCCTTCTAAACAACCAACACAATACCTATATACATATATATATATGTCCTGTTTTTTTTCCAGAAACAAAACCACAACACACACACAATGTTTGTTTGTTTGCTTGTTTGAACAAACCACACACACACAAACAAACAACAAAACACAATACAAATCCCCTGCGCATGCCAAACCTGCCCCCCACGCCAAGCAGCTCCCCGAGCATGACGGCTCCCATGCCAGCTGGGGAGTGCGATGTGCGGTTGTGCTTGGAGGCCACGTACCTGCAACGAACCCACCGATTTGAGGAAGTCCGTTGCTTTTTGTCTTCTCCTGCTGCGTTGGCTTGATATCATGTCATTTTTCCTAATTGAAATTGCGTTTGGGTCATTGACCTGCTTCTTTTTTCCCATGTGATCGGACGCTACCTGGAGTCTCCATGACCCGTTTAAAAAGGGGGTCATGACCCCTTTTGGGTAATGACCAACCATTTTCTAGGGGCTCATGGAGACTCCAGGGCTACTCACAGTTGGCCATGGGTCAAAAACCCCTACCCCAGTGAACATCCCAATCCCCACTAAAATAAAGCCTAAAATGGGTGGTGCACCTACCAACCAAAATGGGATCCCAAAACGGTTTTGACAACCACAGCCATTTCCCTTTGACTTTTTTCCCCAAAGACGAGCCATGCGATCTGGGCTTGAAGCAGAATCCCTGCCTCATCGCCGCCTCGAAGTCCTGCAAGTCCGCTTGCGTGTCGTAGCTACCTCAGGCATCGCGTCTGGTGACCAGCTCATGCTCAATGGGGATGGCTCCAAATAGAAAACAAGGCCCTCAAAACGGTTTCTCCTGACAAAGCTTCCGTTTGCTTCAGACCCCTGGCAAAAATGAAAAACCTGTCCAGTAGTGATAGTTTCCATTTGAAGCCAACGGGGACTAGGTCCTCCAGTAGACAGGATAGAATGAGGGTGCCATCTTTCTTTCCGTAGTCTATTTTAGTAGGGGAACCCAAAATCAACAAAAAAGGGTACAAGGGCACTACTGGGGGACCTAGGAAAACAAGGCGCTCATTTGATTTTTTTCCTTCTTCGGCTTCCCACTTATAGGTGGTTTGGAGTGGTGGTTTGGAGTGGTGGTTTGGTGGCTAAGTGTATCCCAGTTTAACCTCTGCAAGATCCCCAAACCACGAAGCCAAACTAAGGGTTCCCGATCGACACTTCTAAGTTCCCTTAGAACCAACCTCAAAAGAGGTACCCTCAAAACACCTGAAACCCAGGTTTCCCGATAAGAGTCTGCATCGTTTTCTAGACGCAACTCCATTTAGCTGAAAAGGTGATGTCAAAGAGCTGGGGAAGTCTACGTGGTTCCGCCAGTCCGCACCTACGGCCAGTGAGGTTCGTGGAAGCGGTGGACAATTGGCAGAGTTGCGAATTGGAGCGAGTCGAAGTTTCTACCCTCGATGTTGGTCGTCTTGTGGCATGAAGCAAACCCTGGGTCCTCCAGTAGAGAGGAGGAAGAATAAGGGTACCATTTTTTTCGGTAGTCTATTCTAGGAGGGGAACCCACAAACCCAAAAAAGTTGGTAAAAGATGTTGCTGGACCACAAGCTTGCCCTTCATTCTCCGTCAGAAAGGGCTTCACAAAAAGGGTCCGCAACACCGGCATGCATCCGGGGCACCACAAATGAACTTGTGATTGCGCGCAAGGGCCTTTTCATGACATACCCATCTCTGAGGCGAATAGGCCGTTCCGGGGCCCAAACCACCGTAAAGCTCATGTCTGCAAACGGCTTATCCTCTACTCCACCAGCGGGGAGCCCTGCAAAAGCCGCTCGCTCATCGCTCCGATTTTGCCGCATGGCGCGTTCTTTTGGCGCCGAGCCACGCGGACATTCCATGCGTGTCTGCTTGCCGGATCCGAGGACCCTGGAACCGAAATTGTTCGGGCAACGGGAAATCCATGATCAACAGCTAGGTCCTCCAGTAGAGAGGCCAGAATAAGGGTGCCATCTTTTTTTGCTGTAGCCTATCTGAGTAGGGGAACCCTCCCCCCCCAAAAAAGGGGAGAGACGGGCACTACTGGGGGATTTAGATATGTTGATCGGGGGTGGCTCTGGATCACTTTGGGGTTCAGATCAGCCTATTCATTTACCAGGTTGATTTCATCCGGTTGAGAGAAATATGGATTGTGCATGGCCTTGTTTTGAGGATCTACTATTGTTGGCGTCGTTTTAAAACGAAACCAACATGAAACCTTGACCGATGTGTTCAATGGTGTGTCAAAGAGATGTTGCACGGCCGGCTCTAGCTCTCAATGCTACATGTCCGAAGTTCAAACCTCCCACTCGTGAGGCCTTTTCTTGAGCCATCGGCCGTTTTCTGTCGAGGACCCTTGTTCCAGCCCTAGAAATTCGAAGCCGGAGCCACCAACTAGCCGAGCCACAGTTTTCGGCTCCCGGTTCCATTCATGTCGCCCAGTCTGTTCAATCACTTGAGGATTGTTGTTTCTGGGGCGTGGATGTTTTTTGCTTTTTTTTCCCCAAGAAGGAGCCACTTGTCAGATAGGCGGATTGGCCATCTGTTCGGCCCCTGGTTGGTTTCTGGATAGTTTGCCATCCTACAGAATGGAAGAGCTACACCCAGAACAAATGTTCGGACTCCCGTTGCAAACGTACTCCTACTTGGCGGGAACCCCGTGTTGATCGGAAGGTTCTGCTGGTTTGCAAGACCATGGCTCACCCAAATCAACAGCAATCAGCGATACCTCGGCTTTCGCCCCCCAACACAAACAGTAATTATGTAGGTTTGATTATTGTTCAGAATATCTAGTGAACCTTCAAAAGTAAAATAATTTTAAACAAGGATCCCAGGATCACTCCAGGACACATGCAAATGAATTAACTTGTCGGGATGCTCTCCCCAAACACTCAATGGCTAGCGCCTTTGTGCGCCTTGCTTTGGTTGCATCATCCTGCAGGCTGCAGGAAGTCAGGCAGTGGGACCAGATGCAAAACACAACGTGAGCGATTGCAAAAAACAAAACACCTGCTTCATGAAACATGTCGAAAACCAACAGGTCAACAACGATTGTTGTCTCCTCAACCATGTTGTGCTTGTTAAGATTCTAGTAGGTACCACAAGCTACAAAAGTTGGAAACTCCAAGTGGCAGCCCACTACTTGCTGGCTCTCAGTAGGGAAGACGTCCAGGGATTTTGGCAATGAACCCAGTGATTCCTTTGAAGGACACCTAAACGGATGGTTCTGTTCAGCTTATTCCCCGCAATTTGGAGCCAGCAAGCATGCACCACTCCCCAAAGCTCAATACTCAGCTGTCTAAAACCGACCTTTCGACCTTTTGGGTGTCCCATGTCGGTCCATGTTTAGTCAACGTCCCAAAAGGATAACCCTTTTTCTGGGTTGGTTGGGCAACTGAGAATACCCAAAATACAGGTGGTTGCAACATACCCAAAATGAAGGCGGCTGCAAAAGAGATCGCCAGTGTCCAAAAAGAGACTTTGCCTGCTGTTCGTATCCCGGACTGAAACGGAAACGGTGCTTTGAGGATCCTGAACTACCTAGTAAACAAATAAATAATATTTAAAAAAAAAAAAAAAAAAAAAAAAAAAAAAACGTAGGAGTTTGTACGAGAATACAGAGCTTGTGCATGTGTTTTTTGGTCTCCTCCAAAACAACCTCAGGTATACTCGAGGGCTGACTATGTAAAGCTGACCCCAATGAATAAACCTGTCCTGGTATTGGCGGCTAAATCCAGGGGCACTCCCCTATGAATCAACCAGGTGCACGGTGCACTAATCAGGGGTCGACATTCATCTGAACCCTAAAAAATCGTGGTGTACCTTCAAAGAAGTGGAAGACTAGCACCCGCATACCCGGGATCTCCTCCTAAATTGCCCCTGATAGAAGGCATCGCTGGGAGGAGTCTGGAAGATCAATTCTTGGATCTTAGGCATCCCTAGGGCCATGTTGAAAGGGTAGAGTCGATTTTGCAGGCCCACTCCCTAACAGACCAACCTTCCAATTCGCCAAATAGATCCTAAGTGTCCATGTGGGTATGGTGGGCCTCTCTTTCTTCCTTCTTTTTTTTTGGGGGGGGGGCTTTGGCCTACAAATCGACTTAAGTGAGTATGTCTTTTTCTCGGAGGACCCTCCCAACACAGTTGTGTTCCTCTTGGTTTCCCTTAAAACCCAGCAACAGAAGGGCACCCTCAAAAAATCCTCATAAGGGTCCTGGTATGTGTACGGATTCTTGCATGCTGTTCTGTCTTCTCTTCTTTGTTCTTGCTGCTTGGTGCTCCTCCCAAACATCCAAAGAACCCCAAAAATCCATTCCTAAGTCTCCACGCCCAACCGCCCCAGGCTTGGGGAGCAAAAAATCTCAAATTTCAGCAGTTCAGTGGTTGGATGAAAAACCACTCAGCCGCAACTTCTGCAAAAATGCCAAGCCCCAACCCTCCCCCCCAAACCCCCCCCCCACTTCTTCCCCCGCCCCCAAAGCCCCAGCCCAGAGTTTCCTTCCACCAGGTAGTGCCGGCCCGCCAGGCGCTCGAAGACCTTTGCCACCTCCGCCGCCGGCGCCACCGTGCTGGCGGCCTCGCGAGTCCAGTTGGTCCCGGTGGTCCCGTTGGTCGGGTGGTTTGAGGGCAGGTCTGCTCAACCAAGTTACTAAGCAGGTGAAAACCATGGTCATAAGTCACAGCCTGTTATTCCCACTCGCCAGTTTTAACCATGGGTCTAAGTTATACCCTACTTCGCGAGTTGGTTGAACATCTAGGTCCTCCAGTAGAGAGGATAGAATACGGCTACCAACTGATTTTTGGTGGTCGATTTTAGTAGGGGAACCCAAAAACTCAAAAACAAAATGTAAAAGGGCACTACTGGGGGACCTTGCAGGAGCAACACTCTCTCATGTCGCCTGAAAGGGAAACAAAAAGGACACCAATTGAGTGGGAGGGATCCCCAATGTTGAGAAGGACATGGGCTTTACCACGACCGCAACCAACTGGAAACCAAAGTAAGGCCCAAGGGAACTACCCCTCAGACGCCCCGGTGGAAATCCCCGTGGGAAAAACAAGTCATCGCCCTGTTTGGGTGTTTTACTAGGTCCTCCAGTACCCGGACCTAGCAGGAGGAACACTCTCTCATGTCGCCATTTGGAAGGGAGACATGACCATGCCAAGCCCTGCGCGGTGCGGGGCCAAAGGGAGGGGGTTGCAAGGTCCCGGCTCACGACTCACAACCTCAGGTGGAATTGCCGGGTTTGGCGTCCTCTTCTCACTTCCTGAGTGGATTGGCTGGGAAAAAGAGGGAAACAGTTGTTGTTTCAATCATGCCTTCCCTAAAAGTGACTCTAGTCCTCTTGGTTTCCGTGTCTTTTCTGGTCCACGAACTTGGCCGTTCCAAAAGAGGGTGCACCATTTTGAGAAGTCCCCCCCACTTAGAATATAGCTTCGGTCCCTCGACACCTTCGTCCTTTAACCGTCCCCAAAAAACATGCTCAAGGGTACCACATGTGTACATGCACTATGTCCTGCCAGTAATTATGCCAATGTGTTTGGCAAAACAGATCATCACCACGAGCAAGAGGAATTCATGTATATACAAGCAGTATACATACACGTAAGCTGGGCCCGCAAATCCATATGGCAAATTCCAAGCGCCGGCTCATGCAACAACCATGGGCTGCTCACCCTTCGTGCAACCCCTCCCCCGGTATTCTGTGGGAAATCTAGATAGAATCGGGATCATTCCCAAAATCCCTCAAATGGACCACAGACTCTTGGCTAACATAAGCCGAAGCAAACCCCTTTGAGTAAAGCAACCCCCTTTTGGTTGAAGCACCCTTTTTGTGTGAAAACAGGGGTACACCTTAAGTATGATATCAGATACTCCTTCAACCCGAAAGCATGAACAAATTGCGGAGACTCCAAGGGTTCTCCTGTTGGTTTCCCGATAAATGCCCACCCAAAAGGGGCGTACCTTGAAAAAAAACAGACCCCAAAGGTTTGCCTTGTTTGGGTGAAGCAACTCCTTCTGGTTCAGAAACCCGTTTTTGTGTGAGAACCGGGGTTTATAACCTCCTTGCTAGTTTGGGGCTGCAACAGTCTCCAACAAAGATGCCGTATTTTTGGGGAAAACACGCCCCCCCCCACCCGCCTCCCCCAGCTCCTCCCCGCTCCTCCCGGTGCCTTCACCTCGCGCAAGGCCACCTCGGCGGCCGCCGCGGCGCGAGGGCCCTCCACTGCCACCAGCAGCACGGGGCCAGGCGCGTCCTGTTTCGGCGCGTTCCAGGCGCCCATTTTCGGAAGGGTCAGAAAGGAGGAAAGTAGTAGACAGCCAAAGTGATTCGGCAAGTTGTAAGTTGTTAGGTTGGAAAGTTGGTATTGGTATGTTGGAAAGATAGTAGGTGGTTAGTTGCAAATCGTATCAACAAAAAGCAACCAGACCAATTTCGGCCCCCTTTTTTGGGCAAGGGGCAACCAGGAAGTTGTTTCAACGATAAGTCTAATCATGGCACGAGGTGGCTCAACCCTGGCAAGGGTCTAGGGGTGCCGACTCGACAACACCTGTCCACGCGTCCACCCGGGTGTCTGGAAGACCATTTTCCTTGAAAAGGACTCTGGTGGGTTACATGTTCGGGGACAGGAAAATGTGGCTGGACCAAATCCACTTCGCACCGGCAAGTCGTGCTTTATGACAGAACATATACATACATCATTGGTGCAGGATTCTGTCCATGCACATCCTCCTGTCCACCAAAGGGTCCCTTTTGGAAACTAGTGTTACACCCGAAACGTCAGGTTTCATGGCAAAGCGGAGGGTATCCTCAATGTTGCTTGTTCGTGGTTGCCACCCCCAATGTGGAACCTGACCGGGGGGGTTCCTGGCAAGGGACACTCGGCTGAGTTCGATGTTTCGTGGTGGGCGGGTAATGACAAGGTTTATCCCAAAGATACGGGTTCTCACACTGGAGTCTCCCACAGGATGTCATGCTACTTTCCTTTTGGAAAACCAGGTCTCCCAAAGACACATCCTCCGAGGCACGCGGCGGGATCCTGAGAGACCATCCCTAAGTAAGGGAGGTGTGTGGAGAAGTTGGCGCGCCAGAGTTCCGTTTCTCGAGTCGAAAGGTAGACGCACATGCGGCAGATGTATCGCAAAAGCAGGCCGATTCGAAGAAAACTCTGGGACCCCACCCTTTGAAGCCTTCCGAACAGCCCAAGAGACCTTGGTGGTCGTTGGGTTTGGGGAGCAACAATTCAAACAACTTTTAGCAGTTAAGTGGTTGGATTTCAACCACGAAACCGCAATCAGTTTCAAATGTTTCAAATGTTTCCCAACAGCAGCCCAAGAGACCTGCTCCTTTTTGAGCCCACCGGCCCCCTGCTCACCCGCGGGCTCACATGTTCTTTCTTGTGTGTAACATCAACTGGTTGCAGTTTTCAGGTGCAGATCCTTTTGGGGTGACCTAGGGGGAAATGTAGGGGGTGTCTTCGTTTTTTTTGGGAGGTGCCATTTGTTGGGTGGTTAGGGATAACCAAAGGAAAACACCTTACGCCATTTTGGGGTCCTGGTCCAAATCCGACTTTGAGACACACCCCCATTTCAGCAAAGAAATAGTTTCAGGGTGGGCATGAGTCATGCTTGGTTCCCACGGCACGCCTCCACCACAGAGAACCCGAGTCAAAATCAAAGCCGATCGGTATTCAAATGGTCTACCCAAACCAATGTAAAGACTCAAATAAGAAGGCAGACATATCCGCACCGAATTCTGGCGACTGTCTCCGAACCTTCACTTACCAAAGGATTTTGACTATGGCTCTGCCTCCTTCCCGTCCTTGAGGCGCGTTTTCTCCGCCTCCTTGCTGAGTCGCAGCGCGGCAACAAGGAGCTTTGCAGTGCCCAGCGCATGCAACACGTCACGCAGGAGCCTGGGTGGGCACGAGGATCTTGCTGGCCACGAAAATCAAATCAAACTGAAGTCGAGCCGTTGAACATCCCGGAACCAACTCTACTCAAAGGTTTTTTCTCCTCAACCGCTGAATGGATTTGGTCGAAATCGGCCCAGAAAAATCGGGCGATGTCTGGGGTGGTCTGGGGCATCTTTTCTAGGCAGTTCCAGAACTTGGGGACACCTGGGCTTATGGATCACTTCCACTTGAGGTCACTGGCAATGAGAAAATGTGTCCGGTAGTGATATCCATTCCCTCTAAAACCAACAGGAGAAAATAATTAAAATATTCTTTTCAGCAAATGAAAGATCAAGTTTTCTTACCTGGCATGAGGCCATCTGCAATTTTTACAAACTGGACCCTCAAACTGCCCCAACAAAACAGTTCACCCCATAATCTTAGGGCAAACATGTCCCATGTTTCAGGGCCACTCGAGGGTCCCGGAATTCCCAAACCATGAATGAACTCAGCGGATTTCCGAAGAGGGTTTTCGCTCCGTGCTCTTTTTTTCCCAGGGCCTTTGAGATAGCCACCCTTGGGGAAATGGCTGAAAGGGGGCGGCGAAACAAAACCTGTTTGTCCCAGATCGGGAGGCGTTTTGCAGGTAACCCTTCGCTATGGTAGTTTGTACAAAAAGTAAGTGTACCCCTTACACCGAATACCCCCTGTTTTTAGGGTATCATGTCGACCCTCTACTAAAAAATAAGGAATTTACCTTGAAAAAACAGGTTCTCTAAAAAATACCCTAGAAAAAGTGGGTATTTGGAGTAGGGGGTATGATGGAGTCACTTGTCTCACTTCCAAAGACCTTCAGAAACGCTGTCAGACGCCAAACGTTTGAAGCTTGCGGGTCAATTTCGGACACCTTTCACCATCTAAAAACCACTAATCACCGTACAACCTAAGACACTGGACGGCGAGTTGAACCGCCAAAGTTTACCTTTCGAAATTGACGGATTTCTCAGATCCCGAGAAATCCGGAAAGGCGACTTTCTCGTCATGGAGTCCGCAGGTCTCTCGCCTGCTGTTCAAGAAGGGCACTGGGAATGTGAGCCACGGTGAACATGCAGCGGGCGGGGGGGGGGGGGGGCGGGGTGCCAATGGCACTGGATTCGCACTTGCCCAAAGAAACATGGAAATGGATGGTCCTCTTGGAACCTGGGCTGCGTCTGCACAGAAACTGGGAAACCGAAAGGTTAGCAGGTCGGTTTTGGGCAAGTGAGGATATTGGTGAGTACTGTAACCTTCATTTCCTGGCGGCAACCTGGTGAGCGTACCTAATGTTGTTCTCGACGACAGATGATGGTGAACATAGTACCCCTAACACGGTCCAACCCCCAAAAGGTCAAAAGAGGAAAACAAAGAAAAGAGCGTCTGAAACGGAACTCGGCGGGGAGTGAAAGGCTTGTTTTATCGATCCCAAGCTCGCGTCAGGGTCGTGGACGTGTCAAGTAGCTTTGCTCCAAAGATCAAAGCTACAGGGAAACCAAAGGACGGCCTTCACCCATGGGTTTGATACGGCCAAAGGAGCAACCCTAAACAACCCTACCCAAAACGTCCTTCAGGGCAAAAACAACAAAGCGAATAGATGGCACGGTTGAATGCTTAAATCACGGAAACCGCTGGCTACTTTCGACAAAAAAGGACGCCCATGGGCTTCTACGGACCCAAGACTCTGAATATATCTGAATATATCTGGCTTTTCACCGCAGGCCATTTGGCCTATACGAAGGTATGCAAATCAGCCAGCCATCGGACGCATGTAAGACTCCGCGGCTCATTGGCTCGCGTTGTGTTGCTTTGACCAAAGGTGCGTCATGCGTGTGTTTGGCATATGGGGTTTGCGACGACCCTCTTGCTTGCTTGGGCAGCTGACCATCTCAAGTTGACCCCGGCTAAAAAAAGAGAGGGGGACCCCCTCAGCGTGGGTATTTTCCATGTGAAACGAGTGTTTTTCCGAATTGGGGAGTTGTGTGCAGTTATGTGTGTATATATCCTCTGACCGCGATCTGCGCTGCAACTTTGGCCAGCTAGAAAGCATCTCATCCATCTGCATCCTGCACTGAGTCGTCCCACCCTCCACTCTGGGCTAAGATGGCACTTGCAGCAGAAGACATGACCTACGAGGATCTCAAGGAGATCGTGGATGGCTACCTATGCGACCTTGCGCCGCAGTAGTCGCCTTGCAGAGCTGTTCCTGCTGGAGCTCCTATGTTGTAAATCTTCTGGCAAGCTTCGTATGTTAAACGAAACTTTTCATCTGAACTTTGTCCTGTCATCACCTTATTACCTGCAACTTTGAGAGGCCCTGCTCCTACATCTGCCCAACTGACAAGCTGGTAACCTTCTTCTTCAGCTGCCTGAAGTTAAGCAGCTTTCAGCTCCTACCTGATCTCAGTCCACCTCTTTCTGTCGTCCCAACTGGCACCTTTGAGCTCATCTGCAGAGAAGACCAACTTCTTGCTTGGATCTTTGGCCCAAAGTGGGACTTGATCACTCGTGCCGATTACCAGTGAGGATCGTTTCTTAACTATCATCTCTGCATCTGCAACCAAATGTGCATCTTCAATCTCAGCAACTGGAGCAAGCGCCTAGATGCCAGAGCTTTCTGTCAATATCCTGGAAGGTGAGCTGGGCCCGAGCCTGTTCTTCAACTGGTGCCAGGCGAGTAGTCTGATCTTTGCTCAAATAAGCTGCACCTAGCCATTGGATCAGCCTCTCTACATAAGAAGCTGCATACTTTGAGCTCTGCTGGAGCTTGGTCTTTCTCTGCAGGGCACAGTCAGCTTCTTTCAGCCAAGCTTTCCTTTGCATCTCATTTCTGCAAAGCTCTGCCCTGACCATGCATCTCTCTGCCCTTGCAACCAGAAGGGCAAAGAACTCTGTCAGCAGCTCATTCTTTGAAACGTTGTGGCTATAACTCCTTTCTTTCTGCAACCACTTGCCAAGTTGAGAGATCTCTCTGCTAAACTCTCTCTTTCTCCCTCCACTAGCTGCTCTGGCAAACCTCTTCTGCAATCTTCCAGCCTCTGTGTGCTCATCTTGAACTTTCTCCTTGCAACTGCCCAAGCTTCTGCTTCTGAGGCTGAGACTCTTCCAGAATCATTTGAATCTCTTCACTAAGCTTCATCTTCTGAAAGGCAAAAAGCTCTTGCTTCCTGGAAGGATCTGTCTCCTTCTTCCTGTTGCTTAACTGCCCACCTGCAGTTCCTCTACGCTCTTCCAGAACTGGAGGCCTGCCACCTTGTCTGCCTGTTACAGCTTCTTCTGGGTCTTCTTTCTCCAGCTCTGCTAGCTTCTGGAGGTAAGCTGACTTCACTAGTGCAGCTTCTTTCTGCAGCTTGCTCTGCTGCTGCCTCTGGTATGGAACTACCCTGTTAGATAGCACAGGCTCTATCTCCTTGGCTTGCTGCTCTGGTGTTCCAAACAACTTCTTTACGCTGAACTGTTTCTTCTCTAAGCTAGCTGGGCTGGGGCTGGGTGCAAGCTGGCTGGAAGCTAAGGACTCTGTCGGGCTTGCTGTCACCCGAAGCTGTGTTGTCAGGCTGGCCACACCTTTGGTTTTCTTGTTGTTTGGTGTTTGAAAACCTTCTAAGCTCTTCCTTGCAAAGCTGTCCTGTGTTGAAGCTTCTGCTGCAGGCAGCCTTAGAAACATCGAGAAATCAAAAGAAGGTGTTCAAAATCAAAAAAACCTTGAGAATTCGAAAGAAACCATCCAAAATCAAAAAACATCGAGAAATCGAAATATTTTGTCCAAAACCGAAAGAAACTTCGAGAAATCGAAAACCAAAAAAAACAAACAAAAAAAAAACTGGCCAACAGAATGTTTACATGATACCAGCACATTGTCCCAGAATCTTTTTTTTTCTCGAGTTTTTTTTGGTTTTGGACAACATCTTTCGATTTCTCGATGTTTTTTTTCGGTTTTTGGACAGGAGCCTGACATCTGCAAGGGGGGGCGGGTAAGGTGGAGAACTGTTTGCATGATACCAGCCCATTGTCCCAGAATCTTTCGATTTCTCGATGTTTTTTTCGGTTTTGGACAGGAGCCTGACATCTGCAAGGGAAGGTGGAGAACTGTTTGCATGATACCAGCACATTGTCCCAGAATCCTTTTTTTCCTCGGTTTTGGCCAGAATGCAGCAAAATTAGGTGTGTGCAAAAACCCAACGCTCACAGGGTCCCTTTCTGGAAAAAAAATATGTATAACGCGAACCGGCGAGCCTCAATTGTTTTGTCTTCGCAAACCGGTTGAACAAAACTTGGGGTTGACCGGGGCAAATGCATGTCCCCTTCAACAGCCACAATTTCACTGACTGCCGCTTTTGCAGGTTCCACAAAGGAAATGGCGGTTGACCCCCCAAAATCGGGAACAACATGCCCAGAATTTTTGGTTGGTGGCGTCCATGTCCGTACTTTTGCCGGTGCCACGTGGAACCAACACTAGGTCCTCCAGTAGAGCGGTTAGAATAAGGGTACCCTTCTTTCTCCAGTCTATTTTAGTAGGGGAACCCTCCCAACCACAAAAGGGTAAAAGGGCACTATTGGGACACATAGAAAAACAAGAAAAACGGCCCACGTACCGGCTCGCCCCAGCGGCAGCAGCGGCTCAGCGGAGCTGGCAACCACCAGGGCCAGCTCGAGGCCTCGGATTTGTCGGGCAAACGGGAGGAGGAAAACGCTGGGCCTCGGATTCTCGAAGTCTCCATGGGCTCGGCGTTGTTTCGGGGTGAGGAAGGGCACTGGGGGACCTGGGAAGCTCTCATGGAACATTTGGGCGTCCTTTTTTGTGTTGCTGCCTGGAGTCTCCTTCTGACCAGCAGAGAAAATGGTTGGTCATGACCCCAAAATTATGGGGTCATGATCCCATTTTTCGAAAGGGTCATGGAGACTACAGGTACCCCTTCTTCGGTGCCTGGAAGGGGAAGCCGAAACTCTCGGTTGCTTTCTGCTCCCCTGCTAAAAGTTGTTTATCTTTCAGTGGTTTAATGGAACACCCATCAGTTGGCCAAAAGTTAAAGTCCCTACATCAAAGCAAAATGCACCTCTGAAAAGGACACTCACAATTTTGGGAGTTACCTAAAAAACGACGCAGGCCATATTTTGTCTATACCCACAACCTTGAATAGTCTTGGGAGGCAGCCCTCTGGGTTCGATAGCAAGGAATGAGACATGGAATAGCGCTCCTTCGGGTTCATTTAACCAAAACCGCAGGCGATTCCTACTGAACACCCAAGTCTGGCTGCAGTGGCAATCCCTTTTTGGCGCTCCTGTTACACCAACCTAAAAAGAGGTGTACCCTCCAAAAACGCACAGACGTTTTGACGCTCAGGTTGACCTCCTAGAAATCCTTGTAGGGGATACTGAGCATGTTAGAATCATCAAGACCGTCTCTTAGTTTCTAGCCTCCAGGCTGCGACTTCCCCATGTTTTCACGTATATAGCACGAGCAAGGTGCGAACAACATCTCCACATGATACCCAATGCTCCGAGTTACCACTGTAGTATGTAACAAGGTTTCTGAGCTCTAGGATTTACATCATGGGTTCCCTTGGTTACCTACTATAGTGGTATGTAGAAACACTGGGACAGGTGTACACCCCCTTGCGACAACAAGCAACCTTCTGAGCCACTGAATCACTTGACTGACATGCGGGACATCCACACAAAAGCAGCCTGCTGCTAAGAGTGGCCCTTCTGAAACGAACCCCTTGGAACAAATTTCATATATGAGTGTTTCTCAAAATAGTCGTTGCCTGAAACGGTTGGTTTCCTCTTGGTTTCCCCGAGGTTCATGGTCTAAAACCCCAACTAAAAGGTCCATGACCCTCCCCAACAACCCCAAGAAAGGATGTGTGTTGACCTTGGAACATATTGATAATATCAGCATACGCATAGCCGGTTGCCCTTCTGCGAAAGGTACCCACCCACAGGTGCCTTCGGTTAGGGGGAGGAAGGGCAACTATACAAATTTCCTCAAAGTGAGAATTGGGTGTGTCTCAAAATAGGTGACCCCGCAAAAAAAGGGGTTTCCTCAAGTTTCCTCTATATATACATATTGCGGTTTTCTCGTTTTCGACGGGTCTGCACAAATCTGTTCACCCAAAGCCGAAGACCCTGAAAAGTGGGCGGGGTGCAACATGCTGGCTATGTGCCAAAAGCCACAACTTGTGGGGTTTTCGCGGGTACCCTTCGTGGGGGGCTGAAAGAAACAAAACAACAGCTAGGTCCTCCAGTAGAGAGGTTAGAATAAGGGTACCAACCTGTTTCAGGACGTCTATTTTAGTAGGCGAACCCTCCCCCAAAAAAGGGTAAAAGGGCGGTACTGGCAATATCTTTTGCCAGGCTCCCTAGTATGAAGACAAACCCAAATGAGATCCGTTCGGATGCCTCTCAAATGATTGCCGCGTGCAAGCGATGGAAACCCCATTTATTGGAAACCGTTCAGCGGGTCGCGGGTCTGACTGCAGAAGATTGCCAGTTTGGAGTGCCTCAAAATAGGCGACTTCAAAGTAGTTGAGTTCATTTGTTCCCTTCAATCACCAACCAGAAGGGGATCTACCATTCTGCGATCCCCGATTTAATCGTGTGATATTTTGCAGGAATCCTTTTGTAAGGTTGGATTAAAGGGAAACCAAGATGACCACCATCATTTTAGTTGGAAACCTCATTTGGGAAACCCATTTCAACAAAGAATGACATGTACACATCTAGGGGTACCTTCCCCATTCTTTCCAGGGATCCTTCTTTCTAGAAAACCTCCAGAAACCCAGGGAAAACGGCCGGTTTTTGGAAAGAACGATGGTTGAAAAGAATGGGGGATCAACCCCTGGAACAAATGGCCTTTTGGCAGTTACACTTCTCTGAGAAATACCCTCACTTCCTCATCAAACAGTCTGATCAACTAATCTCCAAAAGCCAGTCCAGGAACTCATCGTCAAAACTCCCTCCAGGCCTATGGTCATGACTCACCGAACATGAAAAATGAATGGCTAAGGCTAAGGATCCTTACCAGGTGGATCGCCATCCCAGCATCCCCAAGAACAGCAGGGATCCTTACATTATACACCTGAACATTGCAACTTGTAAATGGTGGTTTCCTTTTGCTTTGGTGTTGAAAAAGCAACATGTTTCAAATGGTTGCAAAATGTATCTTTTAAGGAGCCCTGAACAGGAACCGCTCTTTTGAGAATGATTCTCAAAAACTCGTGTTTTTTTTTCCCAGGATCCTTTAATTAGCCACCAAAGAACATCTCAAAAGGCTTCAATTTCGGAAACGGAACTCAGGGAGGACATGGCTGGAATTGGGACCCCAGCAACAAACCATAGTTTTGCCCGTGGAAAGCAAAAGGGGACCCCAAAAAGCAAAATACATCTCTAAGAGGGGTGCCAATTCCAGGGAAGTACCATGATCAAAGTCACAAGGTGGTGGGTTAAAGGGAAACAACTGACCACATGTTCTGACTTTAAAAAAAAGAAAGAAAGAAAAGACACGGTTAAAATAATGACCCCCGAGGCCATGTGTCCCATTTCCCCTGGCCACGCTGCCCTGCTCCGCAGCCTCCGCATCCAGCCCCACGCCCCGCGCGGCGTCGGAGCTGGGCGCATCGAGCACCGCGGCGCGGAGCAGCGCGGCGGCGGAGTGGAGGGACGTGGCGCAGCGGAGGCCGTTGCCTGGCCATCGGAATGTTGCCTGGAGTGCCAGAAACCCAAAAAGGGATGAGAGTCCCCAAAACCGGGGGGGGGTGGGGGGGGGGTCCAAGGAGGGTTGTTGTGATTTTGTTGCTTTCTACTTGGATGCTCAGCCAACGTCAGGTAAGTAGGTCAATGGCTATCACCGGAGCTGGGGTCAGTAGCCTCATAACTGTGGTTCATGGTTATAAGTTAGAACCTACTTACTAAGTTGGTTGAGCATCCAAGTAAGGAACCCTAACGTTCCGGGTTAGGGTGCTACCGGGGGTTAAAATATCACCTAGGTTTATTTAGGGAGTTGCCTCTGTTTTTGACCGACACGACAAAGGTGAATTTTGGAGTCGCTAGCCATGACGGGGGGGGGGGGTTCCCAAGGCTCCTTACGGAAATCTACGGAAACCAAAACCAGCGCTCAACTCCCCCGCTTGTACCTAGCCCGCTTCGGGATTCCATAAAGGATGGCTTCGCAAAAGTCGGAATCGGAAGACCAACATCTGGTGCTTCCGAACTTCCTTTTGGTTTTCCTTCAAAACCTTAAAACCTCAAGTTACCTCCTAGTCTTTGGCCTGGGTCCCAAACGAAAGAACACAAAACCTCAAATCAAAACCTTGGTCCAAGTCGGAATCGGAGGTCAACCTCTCAAGGTACTTGGACCGTCAGGTTCAAACAGTCGGCACACGCTCCTAGGTCCTCCACTCGAGAGCTAGAATAAGGGTACCCTTTTTTCTGTAGTCTATTTTAGTAGGGGAACCCTCCCAACCAAAAAAGGGTGAGAAAGGGCACTACTGGAGAAAGGCTGCCAACTGTTTTCTGTCTATTTTAGTAGGGGAACCCTCCCCTACTAAAAAAAAAGAGGCTAAAAGGGCACCTAGTTGGGGACCTGGCGGTCCCTTAAACGTTGAGTCAGCAGAGAGCTCAGAAGTTAGGAGGCGTCGCTCATACTTCTGAAGTTCTGCAACGATTCAACCCCATGAGTTTGGGGCCATATCCAATTTTTACAGAAATGTGAGGGTGGAACACCCAGATTGGCTCTTTTGTTTTGGATTCCCTTCAAAATCATTTTTTTAAAGTCTGCCACCATTTGGAGAACCCCCCCCAAAAAAAAAAACGACTCATGTCCAAAGTGAAAGGCTTCAGATCCAAGCAAATAGCCGCCAAGTGGCGAATGCGGTCCCCCGACCGCAAGGACACCCGGAGCTGCCGGTGGTTGACCTGGCTTGTGCAAAAAGGTCCGGGGGCGGGGGGTTGGTGTCCAAAGGGAATGGGTGGCAAAGCCTTCAGCTTCCTTTTACTTCTTGCGAATGGAGTCCCCTGGATAGTGAAATCGATTCCCTTGAAAGTCAGCAAGGGAAAATAGAACACATAAATCTTGTCCGAAACTTGGCCATCTGGGGTACTCCAAAAAGCATATTTTGCAGATGCTGCTTCATGTTTAGTTTGCCTGGACCCTCAAGTTGACTCTTAAAAATCGGAGATTGCCTGAACTTCTGGGGTACTTTGCTTGTTTAGGGGTAGCTTGAGAGTCCAGCTACCCTAAACGTATTCCCCTAAGGGTCCTTGTGAGGATGTACTTCGACGTTCTGTTGACCCAAGTACATCCTAAGAAGGTACTTGGACCCTTCATCCACTTCAAGTCTCCAATACCGGTTGAACCCCCAGAGATTAGGGCCTTAGGGGTCCCCAGCGTTTCAACTCGGATCCCTATCCCACAACCCAGGGAGAAAGAAAGAGAAAGAGAGACAGAGAAAGAGAGTAAGGTTGACCTATGATTAATAAATAGGCCCCCCCCCCCCTGAATGACCATAAAGATTAGGGGAGAATCTTCAGGTCGGGCCTTGTTTAAAGGAGTTTAGTATTGGGCTCAGTTTTTTTGGTTTTCGAATACTACTTTAGAATTGGGCCAATTCAAAAGTAGTATTGGGCATGTTGTTTTTTTTTTATTTTGCTTTGGGGGAATACTAGTTTAGAATTGGGCCAATTCTAAAGTAGTATTGAGCCAATAACTTTTGGTTATTCCCGGAAGAATCTGGTTAGCATTATTCATGGTCTGGTTATTATTTAGTGCCTCAGGGTTCATGGGGGGTACTCTTGCTGCCAGGGTCAATGTGTTGATTTTGATGGTTTTTTTAAAGGAATTTTAAAGACAGGGATCCCATAAAGTTTGTGGATTTGGGATACATCTAGAATCAAGTGTGGGATGAGCCAAGTGGAATGGAAAGCTTGACCGTGAATGAAGATAAGGGGATCAGATAATTTTTTTTGATGGGGGAATCTTGTTAGCATTATTCATGGTCTGGTTATTATTTAGTGCCTCCGGGTTCATGGGGGGTACTCTTGCTGCCAGGGTCAATGTGTTGATTTTGATGGTTTTTTAAAAGGAATTTTAAAGAAAGGGATCCCATAAAGTTTGTGGATTTGGGATACATCTAGAATCAAGTGTGGGATGAGCCAAGTGGAATCGAAAGCTTGACCATGAATAAAGATAAGGGGATCAGATATTTTTTTGATGGGGGAATCTGTTAGCATTATTCATGGTCTGGTTATTATTTAGTGCCTCAGGGTTCATGGGGGGTACCCTTGCTGCCAGGGTCAATGTGTTGATTTTGATGGTTTTGTTTAAAAGGAATTGTAAAAGAAAGGGATCCCTGGCATGATCCCTATATAAATTCACTATGAAACCAAGCAAATTCCATGGGGGATGAGGGTTGGGAGCACTGACCTTGAATAAAAATCTGCATTTTGCATGGATCCCAATGGGAATTCTAGGTTCTTTTGTGAGCTGGGGAACTCAGCATTCATTCATTCATGTGGGGGGAAGGTTGTTTTTTTGAATTACTTTATATTATTTTGTATTTTTTCATTTTTTCCCCTGGGACAAAACGGTTAGCATTATTCATGGTATATTTAATATTGTTTCGGGAAATCGGTTAGCATTATTTATGGTCTATTTACTAATCGTAGGTCAACATTAAGAGAGAATAAGAGAGACAGAACGGGAAATTCCACGGGGAAAAAACAAAGGGAAATAAACAAAGGGAAAACAAACCAGGGTATAATTCCACAGAATAAGAGAGAGACAGAAGGGGGAAAAAACGAAAACAAAATGTTCGAAGAAATTCCCCACGCGCGGGCGATCCCCCAATCCCCCGCACGCTTTCCGTCCTGCGGGTCCGCGCCGCCGCAGAGCTGCGCGAAGCGCTTCACCGCCTGGCGCCGCGAGAGCTCCAGGACCAGGCACCTGGAGCTCGATGCGAGAGGCTCGGAGAGGCGGAGAGGCATTTTTCCTGGGGGACACTTCCCAGGTTTATTCCATTTACATCCATTTACCAGGGAAACCCATCGATTTTTCCAAAAGGCCACCTATGGAAAGGAGACCAACGATTTGATGGGGGAAACCATTTTTGGTTGGAAACCCCATTTGGGAAACCCATTTCAACAAAGCAAGACATGTACAAATCTAGGGGACACTTCCATTTCCATTCATTCCAAGGATCCGAATCTTTTCAGAAAACCACCAGAAACCCAGGGGAAACAGCTGGTTTTTGGAAAGAATGATGGTTGAAAAGAATGGGGAATCAATTCCTAGAAACAAGCCTTCTCACCTATAAAGCCAACCAAAAACGAAGTTCCCAAACAAATCTTCTCCCGACGGGTCTTGGATGAAAACTAGGTCCCGCATTCTTCCCGTTGATCCTTCTTTTCAAACCAAACAAAAATCAACGCAAGGTTTAAGACCCCTTTTGGGTTTACAGGGAAACCAACAGAAGCCCTTTTTGTCCTTCCTCTGAATATGGACCTCTGCATATAGGGAGCAAAAGGCCTTTGACGTGACATGACCATTGGGGAAGCCACCAGAAAGATGACATCTGCCACATGGGAAAAGCTACTCATGGTCATTTGTTGATCAACCCACATGTGAGAAGATGCTACTTGGTTGACGTTGGAAGGGGAGCAACAAATTAAACTTTGGCAGTTAAGTGGAGACTTCCCACTAAGCCATGATAAGCAAAAATGTAAAATGCTTCCCAACAACGACCATGGCTAGGAGCTTCCACATTCGTAACAGGTATCCAAAAAAACTTACTCGTTCAATAGGCAGGGAATGAGACCTGAGAAAAACCCATCCATCCGATTTGGTTTCCTTTAAGGTGGGACCCCAACATGGATTCTAACTAGGTCCTCAAGTAGAGAGGTTAGGGTTTAGGGTACCAACTTTTTTCTGTAGTCTATTTTAGTAGGGGAAGATTCTAGGCTTCCACATTCATTCTTTCCAGAGAACCATGTGAAGACTTAAAAAGGCGGCCGAACCCTTTTCTGGTTGGGAGTATCCCTGACTAACCTTCATCCACCCGGGTTTTGATTGTTAAAGCCTTCTCATCGATAAAGCCAACCAACAAAGGGGGTTCCCCCCCCTTCAAATTACAATTAAACAAGTCTTCTCCCGACGGGTCTTGGATGAAAACTAGGTCCCACATTCTTGCCAGGGATCCTTCTTTTCAAACCATCCAACAAATTCAGGGGAAGGGACTTGTCCAATCGAGTCTTGAAGGGACTTGCCAAATGTGGATGTGAGATGACCTGGTCTAGGTCCTCCAGTAGAGAGGTTAGAATAAGGGTGCCAACTTTTTCTGTCTATTTTAGCAGGGGAACCCTCCCCAAAAAAGGGTAAAAGGGCACTACTGGGGGGACCTAGACATGCTTTCCACGGATCCTTCTTTTAAAACCATCAAAAACAATCAGGGGGAGCCACCCAGAAGATATTGGGGCATATAGCCTGTAGTGGCCATATGCCGGCTGAAGTTCTGGATGTGTACACCTCTGCCTTTAGGGTGCGGGTGGTGGTGGACTGTTTGGACCCGCGGCAAAAAGGGGTCAACCTACATCCTCAGAAGCTACTTGGACTCTTAGGATCTTGGAGTAATAAGGCAACATCTGCTTTCTTGAATTAACCCCCCTGTCCAAAAAAACAACAAAAAAACGATAGCTTGAATTCGACAACTGATTGGTCTTCGGTGTATTCTTCCAAGGGAAAATCTGATGACCCCGGTCGTGTCCTTTCAGCCGTCCCTGCAAGGAGCCACGTCTTTCTCATGGCCTCTTGAAGGTTTCAAAGATTCCCCTGCCTCCTGTTTTCGCTGAAAAAGATGGAGGCCACTAAACCGAGAAGCTGCTACGTATGCCTTGTGGATGCTTCAAAGACGCCCACTCATTTATTCAACTGCAATTTCTACTCCACCATTCCAAAACCTGAAATAGGGAATTCAAGGACCTGCATCATGGGAGCTCGCCATAATCGGTCATAAGAGGGTAAGCTTGCCAAACAGCAAGGCAGAATATACAGTTCCGTCAAATTGGATGGCACCTTCCTTGGATTTCAACTTCACCTTGGCTTACTGACCCAACGGAAACCTGACGGAAACTGTGGGCATCTACTTTCATCCTGGGGCCCCCCCCCCCCCCCCTTTTTTTTTCGGTCCCCATTTTGTTCTGCCAGGAGCATGGCCCCCATTTCTAGGGCCCGCGATCTTTTTGGAGGGTAGCTTTTGGGGTTGGCTTCTTCGGACACCAAAGAGCACGCCGTTTCGGTTTCTATTTTTGGGGGGCTGTCCCCTAAAACAAGACAAGGGCACACGCCCACGTCGGCCCGAAGCCATTTGGCTTATCGAAAACCGGTACCCAACATGGTTTGCCCGAGCGGTAAATGGCAAGATGGGCGATTTAACCTGTGGTCCAAATCCTTTTTTTTCCATGTTTTGGACAACCTGTGGCCCCTCTCCAAATGGGTATAGGTATTAATTTTGAAACACTGGCAACGCTTGGACACTGGAACACTCGAACACTGCAAACACTGCAAACACTGCAAACACTGCAAACACTGCAAACACTGCAAACACTGCAAACACTGCAAACACTGCAAACACTGCAAACCATATTTTCCCAACAACAACAACCATGTCAAATGGGTATGAGTATGGTTTAGTTTTGACCCATACCCACATTTGGAGAAAAAAAAGAAAAGGCCCGCGGCTTCGGAACTTCGGAACTTCGGAATTCGCCTCGCCATGGTCGGCTGGAAAGCGTCCCAGTCCTCCGGCCGCAGGCTGCCGTCCGCCACTTCCTGCCGCTCGATTCGCCGGCGCCGCTCCGGCGCGAAAGGCACCGGGAAATGCCGTTGGTCGAGAGATGAGTTTCCAAGCGGCGCGAGAGGGAACCTGAGAGCCGACGACCTAGGATTTGTGTTTGTTTTTTGGTTGCCTGATTTTTTTCGGTCCATCTGAAGCATCAGTTTATGTTTTTGTTTCTTTTTTTTTGGGGGGGGGGGTCCATCTGAAGCATCAGTTTAGGTTTTGTTTGTGTTTTTTTTTGTTCTGGGCAGAGAAGATCTGCAAACGCCTTTGGCCAAAGGGTTCCAATTGGTGTGCTTTGAAAGTTTCTTTTTTTCCCGGATTAATCTATCTCAGAAGGTAGCATTTCGACCCTTCCAACATTGTTTCAACAGCCTCCTGTTGGTTCCCGTAAGCGGTACCAGGCACGAGTTGTGTCAATCAAGATTGCAACATTTAAAGCCAGGGACTACTTTGTTATATTCCCCTGGTATCACAGAAACTTTCAATTTAGAGTCAGGGGGGTTGTTCAAACCAAACGTGCCAAAACGAAACAACGTCCAAAACCCTGGAAAGGGCCCTTCTAAGAATCCTCTTCTACCCGTCCTGAACAACATGCTCTGGCCCCTCGTTCGCGTTTCGAGCTCGAAAAAGATTTCGAAGAAAACGAAACAAGTTTTGCCGAACCCATGTCTTGGTTCCCCTTAAAGGGGACACCCAAAGAAGGTTGCTTAAAGAATTGGCCGTGATTTTCTCACCCCCCCCTCCCCTTTCTGGACCGACAAGATGAAATTATGGTCTAAACCACGGTTTGAAGAACTCGCTTGAGTGTATTGGCCAAATCCTTTTTTTCGGTTTACCACACAACATATCTTAAGATTAAAGTCCAAGAAACTCAAAGCTGAGCAGATCTGTATTCCGAACATCTCACTTCCTCTCCCCCATGCGACGCATATTTGTGCCCCCGCCCCTCGGGCCCTGCCAGGTTCTACATGGGGTGTCTTTGTTCAGGGTATGTTTCTTCGTGGTTTATGTTGGTTGTGGTTCTAAACGCAAACCACAAAGAAAATATCTCCATTTAGGGGTGTGAAAAAGTAACAAATGGGTGTGGGTCAAAAATAGGTAGCCAAAATGGAAACCTGGTGTATGGAAATAAGGAGCAAAACCTGCGGTCCAATTCCTGCTCAAGCTTGACTCATACCCATTTGTTTATATTTGTTGGACCCCCCCGCCAAACAAAAATGGATTTGCTTGCGTGTTTTTTGTCACTGTGGATGGACAAAACCCATGTCGGACCAGTTGGGATGGCTTTCCACCCAATGAACGTCCATTTTGGAAATCTGAAAAAGTTACCACAGCCACTTCAGATCATTTCACCACTATCAAAGTCATCCCTACACCCAAACGCGAAAGTCCTTGCATTTTCGTGTTTTTCTTGAAAGTCCGCAGCCTGCCAGTAAAAACAACGCAACGAGTAGTCCCGGCAGGGTCCTTGCAACTGAGCCTTCCCCAATGGCACACGGCGCCCAAGTGTCTCCTAAAACTGCTTTGTTTGAGTACCACTACGGACGCAATCCCCATGGCACATCGCATGTTACAAGGCACTTAAACGCATTTTAAGCATACACGTTTAAGTACGAGTAAGAAGGCAATCCCCATGGCACATCGCATACCAGTTGGGACCAAGATGTTGCTTGACTATGTGTGTTTGCACGCCAAAAAGAAGGCAATCCCCATGGCACATCGCATGCTCAACAACATCGAAACAAGTCTTGCAAAACAAGTTCGTGTGCTAGTACGAAGGCAATCCCCATGGCACATGCATACCCAAAGGCAACCAAACACATCTCAAAGACATCTTTTCGAAGCACAAAAATGAAGGCAACCCCCATGGCACGTTGCATAATCAACCGCAATGTCTCTCCTGAAACTGCTTTGCTTGAGCGCCGCTACGGACGCAATCCCCGTGGCACATTGCATATTACAAGGCGCTTCAGCGCATTTAAGCATACGTGTAAGAAGGCAACCAGCATGGCACATCACATACCAGTTGGGACCGAAATGTCGCTTAACTATGTATGTTTGCTCGCCAAAAAGAAGGCAATCCCCATGGCGCATCGCATGCTCAACAACATCGAAACAATTCTTGCGAAAACAAGTTCATGCGCTAGTACGAAGGCAAGCCCCATGGCACACGCATACCCAAAGGCAACCAGATGCATCTTGAAAACATCTTTCCGAAGCACACAAATGAAGGCAACCCCCATGGCACATTGCATCATCAACCGCGATCTCCTAAAACTGCTTTGTTTGAGTACAACTACGGACGCAATCCCCGTGGCACATCGCATGTTACAAGGCACTTAGACGCATTTTAAGCATACATGTTTAAGTACGAGTAAGAAGGCAATCCCCATGGCACATCGCATACCAGTTGGGACCGAAATGTTGCTTGACTATGTGTGTTTGCACGCCAAAAAAAACAATCCCCATGGCACATCGCATGCTCAACAACATCGAAACAAGTCTTGCAAAAACAAGTTCGTGTGCTAGTACGAAGGCAATCCCCATGGCACATGCATACCCAAAGGCAACCAAACACATCTCGAAAACATCTTTTCGAAGCACAAAAATGAAGGCATGGCACATTGCATAATCAACCGCAACGTGTCTCCTAAAACTGCTTTGTTTGAGTGCCGCTACAGACGCAATCCCCATGGCACATCGCATATTACAAGGCGCTTAAACGCATTTTAAGCACACATGTCTAAGCATGAGTAAGAAGGCAACCAGCATGGCGCATCGCATACCAGTTGGGACCGAAATGTTGCTTGACTATGTGTGCTTGCTCGCCAATAAGAAGGCAATCCCCATGGCACATCGCATGCTCAACAGCATCGAAACAATTCTTGCAAAAACAAGTTCATGCGCTAGTACGAAGGCAAGCCCCATGGCACACGCATACCCAAAGGCAACCAGATGCATCTTGAAAACATCTTTCCGAAGCACACAAATGAAGGCAACCCCCATGGCACATTGCATCATCAACCGCGATCTCCTAAAACTGCTTTGTTTGAGTACAACTACGGACGCAATCCCCGTGGCACATCGCATGTTACAAGGCACTTAGACGCATTTTAAGCATACATGTTTAAGTACGAGTAAGAAGGCAATCCCCATGGCACATCGCATACCAGTTGGGACCGAAATGTTGCTTGACTATGTGTGTTTGCACGCCAAAAAAAACAATCCCCATGGCACATCGCATGCTCAACAACATCGAAACAAGTCTTGCAAAAACAAGTTCGTGTGCTAGTACGAAGGCAATCCCCATGGCACATGCATACCCAAAGGCAACCAAACACATCTCGAAAACATCTTTTCGAAGCACAAAAATGAAGGCATGGCACATTGCATAATCAACCGCAACGTGTCTCCTAAAACTGCTTTGTTTGAGTGCCGCTACAGACGCAATCCCCATGGCACATCGCATATTACAAGGCGCTTAAACGCATTTTAAGCACACATGTCTAAGCATGAGTAAGAAGGCAACCAGCATGGCGCATCGCATACCAGTTGGGACCGAAATGTTGCTTGACTATGTGTGCTTGCTCGCCAAAAAGAAGGCAATCCCCATGGCGCATCGCATGCTCAACAGCATCGAAACAATTCTTGCAAAAACAAGTTCATGTGCTAGTACGAAGGCAATCCCCATGGCACAAGCATACCCAAAAGCAACCAAACACATCTTGAAAACACCTTTTCGAAGCACAAAAATGAAGGCAACCCCCGTGGAACGTTGCATAATCAACCGCAACGTGTCTCCTGAAACTGCTTTGCTTGAGCGCCACTACGGACGCAATCCCCGTGGCACATTGCATATTACAAGGCGCTTAAACGCATTTGAAGCACACATGTCTAAGTATGAGTAAGAAGGCAACCAGCATGGCACATCACATACCGGTTGGGACCGAAATGTTCCTTGACTATGTATGCCTGCTCGCCGAAAAGAAGGCAATCCCCATGGCACATCGCATGCTCAACAACACTGAAACAATTCTTTCAAACACAAGTTCATGTGCTAGTGTGAAGGCAATCCCCATGGCACATGCATACCCAAAGGCAACCAAACATCTTGAACACATTTCTCGAAGCGCCAAATACAAGCAACCCCCATGGCACATCGCAGAACCAACCGCAACCGAGCACTGTTTAAACATATATATATATAGTAGTAGTAGTAGTAGTAGTAGTAGTAGTAGTAGTAGTAGTAGTAGTAGTAGTAGTAGTAGTAGTAGTAGTAGTAGTAGTAGTAGTAGTAGTAGTAGTAGTAGTAGTAGTAATAGTAGTAGTAGTAGTAGTAGTAGTAGTAGTAGTAGTAGTAGTAGTAGTAGTAGTAGTAGTAGTAGTAGTAGTAGTAGTAGTAGTAGTAGTAGTAGTAGTAGTAGTAGTAGTAGTAGTAGTAGTAGTAGTAGTAGTAGTAGTAGTAGTAGTAGTAGTAGTAGTAGTCGTGGTGGTAGCAGTAGTAGTAGTAGTAGTCGTGGTGGTAGTAGTAGTAGTAGCAGTAGTAGGAGGTGCCTTGTGTTAAGTTTTTGGCAAGTTTACCCAGGAAAAAAACGAGTCCAAAAACGAGTCTAAAACGAGTCCGAAAAGAAAGAAAACGTGCAGCCGCAACCCACCTAGGCCTCAGCCTGAAAAGCAGGCCGTTGAAACCAATTGATGTGTTAAGCAGACTGTCGGCCTTAGCCTAATACGTATTACAAGCACTTGTTGAAGATACGTGTTTTTCAAGCGTGTGCCAATGCGATTGGCCTCCCAAAGCCCCAGCTTCAACAATGCAAGCTGTTCTAGGAATCTTGTTGCGGATGACTGCGTGTGCCAACGCGCTTGGCCTTCCAAAGCCCCAGCTTCAACAACGCGAGCTGTTCTAGGAATCTTGTTGAGGATGATTGCGTGTGCCAATGCGAATGGTCACAAAGCCCCAGCTTCAACAACGCAAGCTGTTCTAGGAATCTTGTTGAGGATGATTGCGTGCGCCAGTGCGATTGGCCACCCACCCAAAGCCCCGGCTTCCACAACGCAAGCTGTTCTAGGAATCTTGTTGAGGATGATTGATTGTGCCAATGCGATTGGCCTCGCAAAGCCCCAGCTTCAACAACGCAAGCTGTTCTAGGAATCTTGTTGAGGATGACTGCGTGTGCCAATGCGATTCATGTGTTAGTTGACTGAACCTTCTCATTATCTTGGCCAGAGGCAGTGTGCCATTGCGTTTTGTGAGGGGAGTGGGCCTCAACATTCAACAGCGCACCTTCGCCAAACACTCCTCAAAGTATCCGGCCCCCCATGGCACACCAGACACTTGGCTTTGTGTACAGTGGGGGGCTGGGGTAGCACTTGCGTCGCCAGCAACATCCAGGCCTGCAACTTCTATCACCTCGAATCCTACTGGCACACAGCTGAACAACACAAGGAACCAGACTCCCATGTGTTAGTTGACTGAATCTTCTCATTATCTTGGCCGGAGGCAGTGTGCCATTGCGTTTTGTGACGGGAGTGGGCCTCAACGTGCAACAGCGCCCCTTCACCAAACACTCCTCAAAGTATCCGGTCCCCCATGGCACACCAGACACTTGGCTTTGTGTACGGTGGGGGGCTGGGGTAGCACTTGCATCGTCAGCAACATCTAAGTGAAACGAGTGTACCCATGCGATTTGATTCAAAATGGCTTCATGCCACACATCATAAAAGACAGCATGATCATTCCCTACTGGCACACTGCTTGCGGCGCGAGATCATGGCTTGCGGGGCGTGTGACCACAAGGACCCAGTAAGTGTTTTTCAGGCGTGTGCCAATGCGATTGGCCCCCCAAAATACCTCAACATCACCAACACAAACCGCGATCGAGGGAAGGTGTTTTCCATGTGTGCCAGTGCGTTCGGCCTACCCAAAAAACCTCAACTTGATCAATGAAACCATCTCAGGGGACCACGTTCAGCATGTATTTCTCTACAAAAAAGACCTCAATATCACGCAGCAATTGTCTCTTGAAAACATGCTAAACCAAACGCCACTGGCACACGGAGTTGCAACGACCCTACCGGATGCGTTTCGTGTGCGTATTACACGAAAAACATGCTGCCAAAACCAAACGCAACGACTTTCACAGGTGAGAGTAAGTGATAGCTTGACGGGGAAACCACCCACCAGTTCATGACTTGGCCCCCCAAAAAATAGCTCCAACTCGAATAAGGAGAAAAACCCCTTCGGGCTTCCCACGAGTGGCTTCATTTTGATCCCCGGACCCAAAAAAAATCCCAGGGCTCCTGCTGGAAGAGCTCCCGCTGCAGCGCTGCAGGAGCTTCCAAGGCCACCGCCTCCAGCACAAAGCCGTGCTGGTCCGCTGCCTTTCTCGGCTTCGGACCGGGAGGCCAAAATTTTGAAATCTCAGTCCTCGGAAACTGGCTTTTTATGCCAAAAAGGGGTGGCAACTCGAGAAAGGCTCACGTCTTCGAACATGGTCTTCCACCAAAAGGGGTAGCAATAAAAATGCAATAATATATATGTATGTATCTATATAAACAGGAGAAACAGACAACAAAACGACCCCTGAAAATATGTCAACAACAATTGAACAACCAACGCAATTACTTGCTTCAAGGGACGGCTGGGAAATTCGGCGGGCTCCCTCGTGGGACGCTCATGTCGGATGCTCACGTCTTCCCCAAACACATTGCTCGTGGCTCATGGGCCCCTCAACCTGCCGACCTGCCTCGGGTCCTAGCCTGCAAAGGAAAAAGCCGTGGGATGCAATTGAAGTGATTGGCCTCGGCTCCTGGCCAGTGACCCTAGACCAGGGAACCGTCTCGTTTCTTGACCACTTGTAAAGAAACCACCAAAGAGAAATAGGGGTTTATGCTCGGTCACTCAACTAGGAGCCTGGGCAAAACTTGAAAAGTCTTGGTCCAGAATTTGAAAACGATTGATCATGTTGTATATCTACACGATATCTAAACCTCACTTTTCGAATACGTCCCCTGGACAAAACCAAAACATATGTTCAACAGTGAAAACGCTTCCCTTTAAACCAACGGTGGGAAATAGAATCAATATGAATTTCAGCAATTGGACATAAACCTCAGCCATGTACTCACCATTCCTCACAACCCTTGGTATGGTAGCAAAAACAACATGCAGCCCCCTGCTAAAAATGGTCAAAGCGAAAACAAAAGACGATGCCGAGAACAGTGAAGATTTACTCACCTACCGCGAGCCTGTCGCCGCCTAGGTGCCGAGAGCGCTTTGTACACCACCGAATCCTCCAATGAGAGCACTGCCAAGGTCCGCTGCTCTGCGCTTGTTTTCGGGAACAGCACGGCCTGACTCGGGCGCTGGAGAGGACGTCCAGTTGGATTCACGGTCCGAGGGGAAGCGCAAAAAACAACAAATGAAGTCAATTTGGTTTTCTTACAATTTATTTTTTGGGCTCTTGCTTTCTTTTTTTGGGCTCTTGTTTTCCAAAATCAAAATTGTGAGGGGAAAAAAAACAACAAGAGCCCCAAAAACCCATGTGTGGGGCCAGGAAGCGCATGTCCAGAAGAAAAAAGAAACGAGAGATGGAGAAAACAAACACAGATCCAAAAATGGCCCAGAAAAAAAAGCAGAAAAGATCCCGAATCCCATGCGGGAACATCTGCAAGTTGGCTTTGCTTCTTGTTTTCCGAGGACCCTAAGGCCCTGAGGGATGCGTGCAAGGAAGGGCGTAGCTTCACACGGCAAAATCCGTCCGCACTTCCAACGTTAGCCCCAAGCCCCTAAAACCCACAGCCCCCCCCTTCCCAGAAGAAGAAAAAGAAACAACAAACAACACAAAAACAGAAGAAAAAGAAGTGCTTTCCCGGACCCGACTTCTTTGTTGGTCCAAAGGTGAGCTGGTGGTTAGCTGCGCAACCCTTTATAAAAAAGATATCACCCGAAATGCAAAGGTGTCCTTTTTGGCTTCCCTGAAAAGCAACCCCCAAACAATTGTGGTGGCTGATGATGACCCTCGACTGAACCTGCAATCCACGACCCTTAGAAGTAGACATGCAAACCATTTCATCTTGACCCCGAACTATCCCTGCTTAACGATTGAGCTAAAAGGCAGGGTTTGTAACACTTCCATGTACGAGGGTATCACGGTATCCTTCATTTTGGGGGGGTCAGCACCTCCCATTAATCCGGTT